AAACTTACACATAACAGCACGTCTGGGGGAAGCTCGCCGGGTCAGTAGAAGGGAGAGAAGGGAATATTTCACAAAAGGAACAACAGTAATTTTACCAGTCATGATTAAGAGCCACAGTTAACACTCACCAACCAGTGATGGTGGAGAGAAGCCACAGTCAACACTCACCAACCAATGATGGTGGAGAGAAGCCACAGTTAACACTCACCAACCAGTCAGGGTGGAGAAGAGCCACAGTTAGTACTCACCAACCAGTGATGGTGGAGGAGAGCCACAGTTAACACTCACCAACCAGTCAGGGTGAAGAAGAGCCACAGTTAACACTCACCAACCAGTGATGGTGGAGGAGAGCCACAGTTAACACTCGCCAACCAGTCAGGGTGGAGAAGAGCCACAGTTAACACTCACTAACCAGTTAGGGTGGAGAACAGCCACAGTTAACACTCACCAACCAGTGATGGTGGAAGACCACAGTCACACTCTGATGGTGGAAGAAGCCACATTAACACTCACCAACCAGTCAGGGTGGAGAAGAGCCACAGTTAGTACTCACCAACCAGTCAGGGTGGAGAAGAGCCACAGTTAACACTCACCAACCAGTCACGATGGAGAAGAGCCACAGTTAACACTCACCAACCAGTCAGGGTGGAGAAGAGCCACAGTTAACATCCACCAACCAGTTAGGGTGGAGAAGAGCCACAGTTAACACTCACCAACCAGTCACGATGGAGAAAGGCCACAGTTAACACTCACTAACCAGTTAGGGTGGAGAAGAGCCACAGTAACACTCACCAACCAGTCACGATGGAAGAGCCACAGTTAACACTCACCAACCAGTTAGGGTGGAGAAGAGCACAGTTAACATCACCAACCAGTCACGATGGAGAAGAGCCACAGTTAACACTCACCAACCAGTTAGGGTGGAGAAGAGCCACAGTTAACACTCACCAACCAGTCAGGGTGGAGAAGAGCACAGTTAACATCCAGCAACAGTTGGTGGAGAAGTGCCACAGTTAACACTCACTAACCAGTCACGATGGAGAAGAGCTACAGTTAACCTCACCAACCAGTCAGGGTGGAGAAGAGCCACAGTTAACACTCACCAACCAGTCACGATGGAGAAGAGCCACAGTTAACACTCACTAACCAGTCAGGGTGGAGAAGTGCCACAGTTAACACTCACCAACCAGTCAGGGTGGAGAAGAGCCACAGTTAACACTCACCAACCAGTCACGATGGAGAAAGCCACAGTTAACACTCACTAACCAGTCAGGGTGGAAGAGCCACAGTTAACACTCACCAACCAGTCACGATGGAGAAGAGCCACAGTTAACACTCACTAACCAGTCAGGGTGGAGAGCCACAGTTAACACTCACTAACCAGTCACGATGGAGAAGAGCCACAGTTAACACTCACTAACCAGTCAGGGTGGAGAAGAGCCACAGTTAACACTCACTAACCAGTCAGGGTGGAGAAGTGCCACAGTTAACACTCACTAACCAGTCAGGGTGGAGAAGAGCCACAGTTAACACTCACCAACCAGTCACGATGGAGAAGAGCCACAGTTAACACTCACTAACCAGTCAGGGTGGAGAAGAGCCACAGTTAACACTCACCAACCAGTACGATGGAGAAGAGCACAGTTAACACTCACCAACCAGTCAGTGTGGAAGAGCCACAGTTAACATTCACCAACCAGTCAGGGTGGAGAAGAGCCACAGTTAACACTCACCAACCAGTCAGGGTGAGAATAGCCACAGTTAACACTCATCCAACAGTCAGGGTGGAGAAGAGCCACAGTTAACACTCACCAACCAGTCAGGGTGGAGAAGAGCCACAGTTAACACTCGCCAACCAGTCAGTGTGGAGAAGAGCCACAGTTAACATTCACCAACCAGTCAGGGGTGGAGAAGAGCCACAGTTAACACTCACCAACCAGTCAGGGTGGAGAAGAGCCACAGTTAACACTCACCAACCAGTCAGGGTGGAAGAGCCACAGTTAACACTCACCAACCAGTCACGATGGAAGAGCCACAGTTAACACTCGCCAACCAGTCAGTGTGGAGAAGAGCCACAGTTAACACTCACCAACCAGTCAGGGTGGAGAAGAGCCACAGTTAACACTCACCAACCAGTCAGGGTGAGAATGCCACAGTTAACATCATCCAACCAGTCAGGGTGGAGAGAGCCACAGTTAACACTCACCAACCAGTCAGGGTGGAGAAGAGCCACAGTTAACACTCGCCAACCAGTCAGTGTGGAGAAGAGCCACAGTTAACACTCACCAACCAGTCAGGGTGGAGAGCACCACAGTTAACACTCACCAACCAGTCAGGGTGGAGGAAGAGCCACAGTTAACACTCACCAACCAGTCAGGGTAGAGAATAGCCACAGTTAACACTCATCCAACCAGTCAGGGTGGAGAAGAGCCACAGTTAACACTCATCCAACCAGTCAGGGTGGAGAAGAGCCACAGTTAACACTCACCAACCAGTCAGGGTGGAGAAGAGCTACAGTTAACACTCACTAACCAGTCAGGGTGGAGAAGAGCCACAGTTAACACTCACCAACCAGTCACGATGGAAAGAGCACAGTTAACACTCGCCAACCAGTCAGGTGGAGAAGAGCCACAGTTAACATTCACCAACCAGTCAGGGTGGAAGAGCCCAGTTAACACTCACCAACCAGTCAGGGTGAGAATAGCCACAGTTAACACTCATCCAACCAGTCAGGGTGGAGAGAGCCACAGTTAACACTCACCAACCAGTCAGGGTGGAGAAGAGCCACAGTTAACACTCGCCAACCAGTCAGTGTGGAGAAGAGCCACAGTTAACATTCACCAACCAGTCAGGGTGGAGAAGAGCCACAGTTAACACTCACCAACCAGTCAGGGTGGAGAAGAGCCACAGTTAACACTCACCAACCAGTAGGGTGGAAGAGCCACAGTTAACACTCACCAACCAGTCAGGGTGGAAGTGCCACAGTTAACACTCGCCAACCAGTCACGATGGAAAGAGCCACAGTTAACACTCGCCAACCAGTCAGGGTGGAAAGAGCCACAGTTAACACTCCCAACCAGTCACGATGGAAAGAGCCACAGTTAACACTCGCCAACCAGTCAGGGTGGAGAAGAGCCACAGTTAACACTCACTAACCAGTCAGGGCGGAGGGTACAGTTAACACTCACCAACCAGTCAGGGTGGAGAGGCCACAGTCAACACTCACCAACCAATGATGTTGGAGAAGAGCCACAATTAACACTCACCAACCAGTCAGGGTGGAGAAGAGCCACAGTTAACACTCACCAACCAGTGATGGTGGAGAGGCCACAGTTAACACTCACCAACCAGTCAGGGTGGAAGAGCCACAGTTAACACTCACCAATCAGTCAGGGTGGGGATGAGCCACAGTTAACACCCACCAACCAGTCAGGGTGGAAGAGCCACAGTTAACACTCACCAACTAGTCAGGGTGGAAGTGCCACAGTTAACACTCGCCAACCAGTCAGGGTGGAGAGAAGCCACAGTTAACACTCACTAACCAGTTAGGGTGGAGAAAGCCACAGTTAACACTCACCAACCAGTCACGATGGAAGAGCCACAGTTAACACCCACCAACCAGTCAGGGTGGAAGAGCCACAGTTAACACTCACTAACCAGTCAGGGTGGAGAAGCGCCACAGTTAACACTCACTAACCAGTTAGGTGGAGAACAGCCACAGTTAACACTCACCAACCAGTCACGATGGCGAAGAGCCACAGTTACCACTCGCCAACCAGTCAGTGTGGAGAGAGCCACAGTTAACATTCACCAACCAGTCAGGGTGGAGAACAGCCACAGTTAACACTCACCAACCAGTCAGGGTGGAGAAGAGCCACAGTTAACACTCACCAACCAGTCAGGGTGGAGAAGAGCCACAGTTAACACTCACCAACCAGTCAGGGTGGAGAAAAGCCACAGTTAACACTCACCAATCAGTCTCGATGGAAAGGCATCAGTTAACACCCACCAACCAGTCAAGGTGGAAGAGCCACAGTTAACACTCACCAACCAGTCAGGGTGGAGAAGAGCCACAGTTAACACTCACCAACCAGTCAGGGTGGAGAAGAGCCACAGTTAACACTCACCAACCAGTCAGGGTGAAGGAGCCCAATCACTCACCAGCATCACGATGGAGAAGAGCCACAGTTAACACTCGCTAACTCAGGGGAAGAACCATTCACTCGCCAACCAGTCACAATGGGAAGAGCCACAGTTACACTCACCAACCAGTCACGATGGAGAAGAGCCACAGTTAACACTCGCCAACCAGTCACGATGAGAGAAGTTATGCCTCGCCATCCAGTGAGGGTGGAGAAGAGCCACAGTTAACACTCACCAACCAGTCAGTGGAGAAGAGCCAAATTAACACCTCACCAACCAGTCATGGTGGGAAGAGCCCAGTTAACACTCACCAACCAGTCAGGGTGGGAAGAGCCCAGTTAACACTCACCAATCAGTCAGGGTGGAGAAGAGCATCAGTTAACACCCACCAACCAGTCAAGGTGGAGAAGAGCCACAGTTAACACTCGCCAACCAGTCACAATGGAGAAGAGCCACAGTTAACACTCACCAACCAGTCATGGTGGGGAAGAGCCACAGTTAACACTCACCAACCAGTCAGGGTGGAGAAGAGCCACAGTTAACACTCACCAACCAGTCATGGTGGGGAAGAGCTACAGTTAACACTCACCAACCAGTCAGGGTGGGGAAGAGCTACAGTTAACACTCACCAACCAGTCAGGGTGGAGAAGGAAGAGAAGTCAACACACTTAATAAGCATCAAAACCCAATAGTTAAGACACTTCCTCTCACCAAACAATGAAGCAGGGAGACACCACTCACCGCCACTACCCACCATAACTTCCCAGTTAATGAGACTCAAACGTCCTTTATAGCTTACCTTCCACTGGCGAGAGAGGGGGTGAGGGGGTACAGGTGGACGTCAGGTTGGGTCTCACCTGAAGCTCGTTGATTGCCACCCAAGAATTGGAAGGGAAACCCTGAAGCATTGGGACGAGGAACTGTAGACACCCTGACCAGTGGCCGATCAGGAGCATCATGGAGATGAGATTAAAGATGCGCATGAAGACGGACGCCATGTTGAGGAACTGTATGTGGGAAAGGCAGGAGGAGGCCATTCAGGATAGCAGCTGGCACTTGTCCCGGTAGGTGCGGCTTTCACAAGGTGAACCACAGTGACCTATCATACCCATGATCATTAGTTATTCAAGTGTGTTCATTACCAACTTCTGTTACCAAGAGACAGAAACAAACCGAGGTACTTATACTGTCATTAAATCACAGAACTTCATGATGTATTACAATTATTTTACTGGTGATTGCAAACTTGACACTCCTTGTTTTAACTTTATTTCCTGAAGCTGCTTTCTAGACTAACCTTGGTATGGTTGTCTGGCTTAAATTCCGAACACTTCTGGACTCATATGCGTGAGCACCACAAGATGAAGCATCGCTCCACATGACAACGCAAACATCACAGCTAAACTGTATTCGGAATTTAAATAAGACTCTATGACTCCTAGATGCGTTGATTATGAATTGTCTGTGTATGTGTTTCTTTCCAAGCAATGCTTTATCACATACTTGTGAGAAGCAAGAAGTAAAGTGTATTGCATGCACATGCAAGACGGCGAGTGTCCAAAACTCCTTTCTCTAGAATGTCAATGTAAAATAAAATGGATTCATTTCATAATTATGATCTATACCATTTGATAAATGCAGTTAATCAAGCACATGGAAACTGTTTATATTAGTTTTATCTGAAAGTTTTCCCGTTGTTAGTAAACCTTCAAAGATATAAACAAGAAGTAAGAATTAAGGTGGATGTAGAGGGCTACTTGGCGGCAGTAGTGGTGGCTCGGGGGGATACACTCATACACAAACGTCTCCTCAACACCTTGTCAGAGTCTGTCGCACCTGACTCTCTTGGTGAAGGTAAGAGGATTGTGTGACATCTCCAGTGTAATCTCGAGGACGCACGTTGTCCGTAGTAAGAGAATATAACGTAACACAAACATCAAGTGACCGAATTCTTCTTCGTGCGTGTGTACTGTGTAGAACTCACACCCGTTGAAGGCTCCAAAACCTATGTTGACATTCAATATTAAGCACATCTGCTGCATCGTCCACAGCTTTGAAGATATTCTTATTCATATGAATCTTAAAGGAAGTATTCACATAACTTTATGCTTGCACGGGAGAATATTTATGATTTTAGGAATAGGGGAAATTTAGTACATTAAGACGGAGTGCAGAGCGTAGGCCAAGTCGTGACGGGGGTCTCTGGTACGTGAGGCGCCACAGTGATAACTCTCTTCAAGAAGTCAAATTAACCTACTCACACTGACATGCCAGGGTCCACGCTGGCCAACTCTCCCACACAAACCCAAACTAATTCTCCCAAGCAAAGGCCCCAGACGAGCAAACTTTCTCACTTGAGGGACGTGGCCCACCCAGGTTATCTCACCTCATGGGATGACGCTAACTAATTATCTCCTTCTCGGGAGTCACCTTAACTAGCTATCGAGTCAGTTTCTAGAACACCTTAACTAATGATGTGACATTTACTTATACCAATTAACTCTTTCACGAATTCCCTCACTACAGGAGCTCAGGTTGGATAATTTTCTTTACGCCAGGTACTGAATTCGCTAACTTCCTCCCGCCAGAAGCTCTCACTCCACTGTACACTATAAGCTTGTACTCATATATGTAATGAAGGCGAGTGGTGTCTGGTCCCGACTTCCCCGGCACTAACCTCCCGCACTTTTGTCTATGACTAAACCGTTCCTCACTACTTATATATATATACATGTTTAAGTGAAGATTCGCTATGAATATTGACTTGTCGCTAATGTTTGTCTGTGTCTCTGTTGTTAATCACCGAGTGGTCTAAGTCACGAGTGTTTGAATTTAATATCAGATTTGTTTCTATATCGTCGTCGTTTGAAGTTGTTTTGTTCGTACTTGGTGGAACTAAAAGTTATTCATCCTGATTTCAGTTGTAGTCTCTCAATTATGATTTATGGATATTTTCTCCAATTAGTGTCTAAGAGGCGGGCTGTTATGCCTGCCTGACTTTTGATCTATGCCAGAGTTCTGATCTTCAGACCAGCTTCCCGGGATTTATGCCTGTAACACTATTGTTTCTCCTCCAGGTCAATCAAAGGTCAAGTATAAGGGTAAATGTGAGTGCTGACTATCGAGGTCAGAAGAGGGGCAATGATCGACCTTCAAAATGTTTTGAGTCATCTGCAAGATTTTCACATTAGATTTTTGACGGTTGTCCCTGGAGACCTCTTGTATTTAATCGAGGTTGGTCAAGTGTTAGAATCACAGACCAAACTTTTCCACGGCGAGCAATGTCCCTTGCTATTGGTCAAGATCAGTCAGAGGTAAAGGTCACCAGGTCGAAAGTCATTCATCAAGTTGTGAGTAACTACCTTTAGATTTTCTAGATTAGATAATGTGTGTCAGCTGAGTACGTCTCCTAGTTTTCTCTTAGTAGCGACCCGAGGACGACCTTTTGCTATTAACTTGGCTTATTCCTTTTATTTAAACACACTAGACATGAAGGTGAGGTGCCTGAACGATCTCCCTTAGACTTGATGAATTGAGTGAACTTCTCGGCCTCAGCGGATGTGTATTTACGGCTATGAGTTACTGATACTTCCAGGTCGGTGTTGTGTAAGGTGTGTGATCCTGAGGGTACTGGCAGTACCTGTTATAGCTGGTACCTTTGCCTGGGGTCACACCTGCAGGGTAGTGAAGGCCGCCACCTGTGGAGGCAGCTCCCTGGTGACACACACACACACTTAACTCACAAATTATATTTAACAAAGTTGTTTCTGTCTTTTGGTCAGGTTCCAAGACGACAATAACTATAATAAGAGTACAAATGAAGACTGTCTTGTAGTCCCTTTGCTCTATACAGTACACATCGAGATGGTAAAACTCATGAATGAGGAGCTCTAAAAAGAGTAAAGAGGGAATACACGATCTTAACTGACACTTGACATCAAGAAAACTATGAATGATGACCAAAGGCAGGATGTGCGCACGCGGGGCAGCTCTGGAGCAAAAGTTACCATTTCTGCACCAGGCACTTGCTGGCCAGAGGAGAATGGTTTCTCTCGATTAGACAAAGCAGACAGTAGCCCGGTTCTGAAGGTAAAATAGTTGATTAATGCCATGCTCACTCAGGGGCCGCTATAGGACGTAACCAACCGAGAACAATGGCCCCAAAGTGAGCATTAGTGCGGAGTATTAATTCCTTACTAAATTTTTCCTTTTTTAGTTATTCTCTGTGAATAAACAACCGATTTTTTATTCTCGCTCTGGTGTCGCTGAGACAAGCTGACCCCTGAGTGAGGTAAATGGAATTAACAGTCGTCTAAATGCATGACTTCAGTTATTCCCTGGTATCAGGCCACTCGATTGATGATGTGCTTGCCCAGGGGCCTTTGAACATGGCAAAAAAGGGCCCCGGGGTGAGCATGAATGGATCTCAAACTTGTCTTTACATTCTGGAGCTCCATTAATCCCTGTGAGTGGCCCACGTGTTAGAAGCCTAGATTAACCACCAATGAGCAGCCATGCAGTGGGCGACACTACTGGCCCCGTCTCCTTGTGCTCTCTCTAACCTTTGAGAACAAGCCAAAAAAAGAAAAGAAGCAATAAAACCTGTTCACGGTGGCACAAATTAATGTAGTATCCTGACAGCAAAAATAGTAAGAAATATAATCTGGGGAAAAATCTGTCTTGAGAAAAAAGTAGAGTTAAAATGAGCCTTTAGACTTTAGACCATAGTTCGGGCAAAAGCGGGATGCAGGGACATGCAGATAAGGCGTCGAGGAGAGGCTAAGCCATAACATGTATGTGGAACAAACAACTAGGACAGACAGGCAGGCGACTGACAGGAAGACGGGACGACGGACAGGCAAGGGGGTAAGGTCGGTACTGTACATCCTAAGGTAAGAGGGATTAATTTACCTTAAAAAATGGAATATTGTAAACATTGTACGGCTTCCTTTTACGTCTGTTCAGGGCATCTGAGCCACCAGCCGGACTCCGTCTCTCACTGTGCTTTTTGCGGTGGTTCGTAAGTATCTAGAACCGAGGAAAAAAGTAAAAGGCAAAGAGATAAAGGCCAGGTTGAGGGGAAGGAGAGGCAGAGTCAGAACGAACCGCTTGGGGGATGGTTGGTTGGTGAGCCCAAGTCTAGGTTAAGTCACACAAGCACAGGCCTGCCTCACACTGTACGCGTATTACCACAACTATCATATATACACTTTAATGGCTCACGAATACAAGATGGACTCGGCCCAGATGCAACAAGCCCTGAACCAGACAGAAAGGAGCCACAAGGCAGAGGGATGTTGTCTACGCACGCTGCATAGGGCCAGGGTGTGTCTCAAGTTAGGGTTACTAGCGAGCACTAAAGGCGGCTCTGGTCACACCCGAACTTGGGACACACAATATTTAAGATTACACCCCCCTCCCCCTACCCCGAGAAGCTGTTGTTACGGTGTTGTTGCTGGGCGTGGCAGGGTGAGGCGGTGTTGTACTGTACCTCCATACACGTTCAGGGTGGCTGCGCGTCACTCTCCACCTCACCTCACCTTGCCACCAACCTTCAGTCACACCCAAAGACTCACGTTCACATGGTAATGATTATATACAATGGGAATTATGGGCTTGCAAAGCAGTGCAATAGAATCATAATAGAAATTTAAATGCCTTCGTGAGTTGTGAAATATAGGATATTATAAACAGCTGGTGTTAAGTCATCCACTGCTACACCTTGGCTTTCCTTCACAGCTGGCCACAAAGAGCTTGACTCATGGGAACACAATGGCTAAGGTTCTCTGTCATGATCCTAGAGAGCTCGGGTCATGGCAATTAACCTCAGCCTCAATACAAGTTGAAGTGACTGCAGCTCTATGCAGCGAACGACCCGCCAATATCCCACGGCTAACAGTCGTCATCTTTCATGAACTCCGAGAGCTGAATTTTAAGACAAAACTAACAAGAATCGACACATTGTAAGGCAAACCAGTGGCAGTTAAAAGAAGAAGGAGCACATATGAGTCCTGTTTCACATAAGCGTTAAAGAATACAAGATTAAGGTCATAACGAATGAAGCAAGAAGCCAGCAGTGTGAAGTGCCACGGTCTCTCCCCCACACTCAGAGCAGGAGACGCAATAAAGACAAGAGAGAGACAGCGAAAAATATCGCAGGAATAAAGCATAAGACGTTACAGCCAACGCTCTTCAATTCATAGAAAAGGATCCATACCTTTAAAGGAGAAGCTCATGTGGAACAAGAATCACATACGTTACAAAATGTCTACAAATACGGGTACATTATATAGCTCATAGTCGACTCGTGGCACCAGACAGGCAGTGGTCCAGCAGCAGGATCAGAGACACTGCCCGACGCGGAGTCCAATATGACCAAATATATTCAGAAGATCTACAAACAAATTAAGTAGCTGGAAGAGAGGAATAACAAGTACGAAAGAAGGAGGTGGCTAAACAGGGAAAGGGCGAGAAAACCTAGATACTGTGTGCCAGGGAGGAGAGAAGAGTCTGACAGGGAGGACATGAGTGTGGAGTGTTGATGCTGACTGAAGGTGATCTCCTACAAGAGGCGCCGAGGAAAGACAGGAAGGTTGAAAAAACTGCCGAAGGGGAGAGAGAGAGAGAGAGAGAGAGAGAGAGAGAGAGAGAGAGAGAGAGAGAGAGAGAGAGAGAGAGAGAGAGAGAGAGAGAGAGAGAGAGATTTTAGACGGTTGGCTGAAGGGTGTCTCTACCATAAGTATTGTGTATGGCACCGAGTGTATAACTGGATTTAATAGGTGTATGGCTAGATTTATCGGGTATAAAAGCATGGTTTCGTCGGGTGTATGGCTGGATTTTATCGGGTGTATGGCTGGATTTTATCGGATGTATGGCTGGATTTTATCGGGTGTATGGCTGAATTTTTAGTAGGTGTATGGCTGGATTTTATCGGGTGTATGACTGGATTTTATCGGATGTGAATAGCTGAGGTGGTCGGTATGTAGAGCTGAAGTCATCGGGGAGTACAGCGTGGGGTCATTATATACATATAAGGTGTAGAGCCGAGGGCGTGTAGCTCTAAGTAACCGGGTTGTATAGTCTGAGGATGGCTGGCCTGAGCGAGGACGGGGCGGGGGGTAACAACCAACAGGGTGTGTAGTAGTAGTAGTAGTAGTAGTAGTGACTTCACATCGCCGGGAAGGGGCTGGGGGCAGAGAGGGGCGACGGGCAACAGGAATAGATCTACTAAGAGTAATAATTCTAAGTTGGGTGTTAAGTACTATGATTACTTTTATTACTTGACAAAAGTCCACTATGCTGAGGGTCAACCGCATCAACAGGATTATTATATACTACAAAAATATTTATATATATAATATAATTATATATAGTATTAAGGAAGCAGGGACGGGCGAACGAGCGGCACCGCCAGGCACTAAGGTATTTGCTTGGATTCTACTACGAGCACACCACGCGGCACTGCACAGACATTTTCTTTGTAGCTGCGTCAGTCACCTTCATAAACGCCAATCAAGACTGACTGACTCGATAATTGACCGAGAGAGAACTCTTACCAGCCTGTGTTGACGATTTGGCCTTTAGTATCAATAATTTTTCTTCTGACAATACGTCAAAGGAGGAGGAAGTCCATGATACAGCAATGTCTACATTTGTTTTTCTACTTCGCCTATACCCGAAGCAAGAACTAGTGACCTGATGATAATTCTATTTTCTAAATCATGGACATAATGACGCTGTTGTCGCCACCGTCACCACTTCAACAGCACCTACTCAGTTATTTTAGAGATACATACTCGTACATCGCTGGGTCAGGATTACGACTACCAGGCGATACTCACTCCACCAGCGACCTGACACTGACACTCACCTGGCGAGATAGTGCGGGACAACCTACTAGTGTCATCTACAGTCTACAAGGTATTTACAAATCCCCTGATGTTCGTGTTCACAGAGTTCCTTGAGGGACCAAAGCTTAGGTGTAAAATCTATCATTTTCTGTACATAACTGCCGCCCGTGATGAGTTCTTTGTAATTCCTCGTGACAAGTTTAAGTCAAAGCAGACTACAGTTATGGAGAATGCACCCATGCTTTGGTTCCTCATTGTAATCTGTGAACATAAACACCAAGGGACTTTATAAACACTATGTGTGAACCGCAACCATTTGGGTTTACAGAATTTTGCTAATCAAGCTTATGAGGTTACAAACTGGGCACAATGTGCACATATTATGTACAAGTAACTATTACACAGTGGACCACACTTAGAGCTGATAAGTTGTGTTAAAAGATTTCCACCATAAGAAAGTTGTCATGAGTGACAGCTATCTATACTGTGGTACACACTTAAAGAAGTCGGGCAGCACCAGTGGAGGACGACGCATGCTGCCTGTGTCGTTTGCCAGTTAGTGGGATGAATATTGTCTGAGATGAGCGTTTTACTAACCTGGGGTTCGAATCTCGTCCGGGGACACCTCTTTACCATAATGCTATACCTTTTGCGTCATAGTTTCTCGAAATCGAGGATGGCCGGCCCTAAGACCATCTAGAGAGGTATTTAAGTTTTAATAGTTGTTGTACACACAACTACTGTACCACACCCATGGTTACACGAAACGTGAGTTTGTGTTAGCACGAGAGAACAACTCACCAGCTGCTCTGACTCACCATAACCAGAGAACACGATCCGTTAACTGATTTATATCCAGGCCCAAGGTTCCTGCTAGTAAACAGAGGCATACAGGAGCAACGGAACTTGCCCTAAGTTTTATCAAGTCCTTGAATTGAACTCAGGCCCTTTGCATTTGTTAACAGTAACGAGTGTACTAATAATTACATGAATTAACATCATACTGTAGATATGTACAGGTTACAGAAAACTCAGACAGACTTACAGATATCACTGACAGTTCGTGGTCATTGTGCGTCTAGACGTGACCATCGCCAGGGTTACCACTGACCCATTTCTATCTCTGCTGACTTGCGTGAGGTTGTCTCCACTCGTACCAGTTGCAAGGTGTGTGGCTCAAGATTTCACTGCTGGGAGGGTCCTCCGGGCTAGTCTCAGCTCAATAACTTGTCAGACTTTGCGCAACTAAAGCCTAATAGTTTATTTAAACCCAACACTAAATAAATAATAATTTTCGAGTACAAGGTTAGTTAAGCTTTCTTTATAATATATATATATATATTTATTTATTTATAAGAAGCCGGCCAGCACTGGTCCGAGGAAATAAACTATACAGTTATCTATATGCAACGTAAGATACTCAAAATTCTCACTTTACGTGTCCAGCATATATTTACATAATTCCTGTACACGTAAATGATATACAGGATTGTTAGATCATGTTTATCATACTGTATATGTGACTATTACACGTGCGGTTTAGAACGCCATATGCTGCATGGTATTGAGACTATCATATATTCAACTATATATATGCGATAAAGACTAATATAAAAATAACTCAAGCATATATTAGTGAATAACCTAAGACCTAAGATAGAATTATTTGGTGATAGCAGCAAGACAACAACGTACCTTCTGTAACACAATATTTTTCTTATATTTTTTTTAAGATCATTGTACTGCGTGAAGACAGTCCCATAGATCCACCTGAGAGAGGAGCTCATAATTTCTAATGATTGTGAATGTACTAATCTAGATACTGTACACACTTAAAGAACTTTGTTGGTGAGACTCAGTAATACGTATAATATCTACAGTATATTAACCTACTTTCACAACGACCCTCCCAGCCTACTGAGACCGCTGGCTTGCTCGGCGCTGTTTTCTGTTAGTAAGGAAGTACTGATGCATATTCAGTACTTCAGTGGTCAGCCCATCTAGCTTCTCAATAGAAGAGGTACATATTGATGTCTATTAAAGTTTAAGGTACTTAAAGTTCTTTTAATAGGTTCGATATAGCATTTTAATTATCTCATAACTTATTTTATTAAAGTTTGCCTTCAATTACTAAGATTTTGGAAGTACGGGAGATTAGACACGTAGTACAGTATCCCTCTATGACAAAGGACTCTATCACCGTCTGCAGTATAGCAACACACTTCCAACTGTTGACACCCAATCGTACAGATAAATCTCATAACTTGTCTGAGATGCTATGGCCGTGAGTTATAATTAACCTGAGCAGCAGGTTAATTTGTAAGTGACGGCAAAGAAAACTGTCTTGCAGTCGAACTCATAAATAAGAAGCTTCAAGAACCTAACGTTCTGTTTACTCGAATACTGACTACACTAGCATGGTCCACAAGTCCTGTGAGGGTGTAGCGGGGAGCAAGTATCCTTGGTGCCTTGAGGTCAGTGCCTCGCCACGTCACTTTCTGTAGACGACTTCTGCATCGAGGGTAACAACGGGGCAGGGTAAGTGGTGTGACAATATGGGTAGGTCGCTTGCAGCATGAGCACAACTGTGGTATGCATAGAACTGCAACTAAACACGGTGTGTTCTCTGGCGCAACAAGGCTTACGACTGGCCAGCCTTAGCGCGCATGCTCTTATTGGAGGGCTTGTATTATGTATGTATTTGCTCTATCTTGTACACAGGCGTGGGTTATCTAGGCATGAGGCTATGTTCTAGCATACATAATAGCATATCTGTGAAGCTCAGTGTAATTGTGTGTGAGATTGAGTGAGGGCGAGAGAAAGAATAAAGAGGGGTAACACTGACGCTGCTTACATAGACCTCCTCCCATTGCGACACGTATCGGACGAGCCGGGAGAGGCGGAGGAGGCGAACCAAGGAGAGTAGTTTTGCGAGCCGTAGGATCCGTAGCGCCCGACCCGCATGTAGGATCTGGAAACTTTCACTAAAATCCTGCCGGAGAGGAGACAAATACACGAACGAGATTAATAAATTATCTGCGAAATAACGCATTATTGATTTAAGAGTAAATGATAGAAAGATTAAAACTTTCTTTTATGTTTATATTATTCAAGAATTTATAAAGTACTGTACGTCATAATGAGCTCAACACATAACAGAAATTCAGTGATTTCTCTAACTTTAAGAAAAAACAAAGTTGTTGAAAATCATGTCATGTGTACATAATTTTAACTATTTTCTTGGCAGACAAATATATGAGTGAAAATTTTAAAAGATAAAGACAAATGTTTACGAGATGACTCAAGTGGTAGGTGTGAGGGAGGGGTGGTGGCCACTCTCCCACACTTGGTCATATAACAGGAGGAACTTATGTCTCCCCCACAACACGAGACAGTTCCTCCTCGGTGTTGGCTACTCACCCTGTCACTGAGCGTAGGTGGGTGTTTACCTCAGTACCTGCCAATTAACCTGAAATATAATTGCTTCATAACAACAACCTGAATTAACGAGAGACGAGCACATGCCAATGATGCAGGTCTTGCCTCGTGCACAAACAAGGTCTTACTCACCTGCTGATGGGCGGCAGGAGTGTAGCCTCACGTCAGCCATAAACACCCACTGACCAGCTGGCCAATTAGCCCCCACCGGTCGTGGGTTTAACGATATTTTTCTGATAGGGAGGGTGGGGGGTAGGGACGGGGGAGACGAGCGTAAGGGAAGTGTTACAATGACAAACTGACGTTGGGAGGGAATGGAATTTTAACGCTCTGGAGAGAGTGATCATTCACGCTCAGGCGTGTGTCGTGCAGCTCAGGTGGTTTATGTGGGGTCATACCCAGGGTGGGTGAAGGATGGGGAGGCGCCTGGCGGCCGGTGGCAGCCAAATTTTACACCGTCACACAACACCTTATGATCCCAAGGTGTCTCCTATATGTTTATATACATTATAAATTCATGCGCACACATAATGTATATATATATATATATATATATATATATATATATATATATATATATATATATATATATATATATATATATATATATATATATCAGTGGTTCTCAACCTTGTTTGCCCCATGCACCCCTTTCACCATATGTCAGAATGTCATTCCCCCCTCCTTTCCAAGATTGTCTGCCTCAAAAAGTGCATTCCAAATAATATGCATATAATACTGAAAATCCTTTCTTTTTTCCATATTAGTACGTATACATTTACAATTTTACATGGATTATTTTTAAAGTGGAGTTTTACAAATTAAATGCCAATTGAAAATGTTGATGGATTTATAAAACTTGAATAAAAGTAAAATAGTTTTTTTTTTATTTATAATGAATTACTTAACAGACCAAACTGAAGCATAATGCAATAAACAAAAAGTTCAATAGAATACCAGGATATTGTAAATTTGTAATTAATTTTATTCAGATGAAGATTACAGTCAATGAGAAACCTGTGATTTTTTTTTCTTCGCCAATTCTGGGATACGCGGAGGAGTGCTTGAAAGGGCACAACGCAGGTCATTTTCTACCTCTAATCTACTACGTTGCTTCGTTTTAATTTGCAACAGAGTTGAAAAGCCTGACTCGCAAAGATATATCGACACAAACGGAAGCAATGCACGGATAGCTCTTTCTGCCACTTTTGGGTAGGAATCGCACATCAAGGGCCAAAATTCTGTGATTGATTTCTCATCGAACATATCTATTGCTCCCGAATCAGTTTTTACCCCTGGTTGAGAACCCTGATATATATATATATATATATATATATATATATATATATATATATATATATATATATATATATATATATATATATATATATATATATATATATATATATATATATATATATATATATATATATCTTTTTTGATGAGTGATGTTTACCAAGTTTGAATAATAATAATAATATAGAAATAATAATAATAATAATAATAATAATAATAATAATAATAATAATAATAATATATTAATAATAATAACAATAATAATAATAATAATAATAATAATAATAATAATAATAATAATAATAATAATAATAATAATAATAATAATAATAATAATAATAATAATAATAATAATAATAATAATAATAATAATAATAATAATAATAATAATAATAATAATAATAATAATAATAATAATAATAATAATAATAATAATAATAATAATAATAATAATAATAATAATAATAATAATAATAATAATAATAATAATAATAATAATAATAATAATAATAATAGGTCCTACATATACCTGTTGGGGGACTAATAACATATGGTATAATAAAAAACTAAACTAAACTCATAATGATAATGTCACTCATCAGGAGTGATATATTACTAGACTTTGAAACGCTTTGTCATGTAAGCCAAAGAAAATGCTAAGGAATAACTGTAAAGGAAAGCTTTTAATGAACCCGGAAGAATAAGGTGCGGTACACTACTTAGGTGAAGATCATTGTGACTGTCAAGGTAGGTCAAGTTGCACATCATCCTGCATCGACCACCAGTAGTATACAGTGCCATGCAAGAGCTTCTGGTGTTGCAGACGTTCAGAAATAGCAGTTTTGTCTGTCGCGGGACACATAGTTGGTCCTCCCATGCTGGACACAGGGTCCCTGGGAGTACACCAAGATCCCACCAAACTCTCACAACACGTGTCACACCATGCAGGATCGCTGAGGCAGCTGCCGTTCAATATGTGTTCGTTGCAAAGAGTGTGTTTAATGTACTGGTTAGAGAGAGAGAGTGTGTGTCTCATGTACTGACTGGAGAGTGCATGTGTCTTATTTTCGTACTGTGAGTGAGCTGAGGTTGTGTTATCAGTGAGCTGAGGTTGTGTTATCAGTGAGCTGAGGTTGTGTTATCAGTGTTGCTGCAGCAGTTCTGATTTATATATACATAAGAAATTATCTACCAACTAAATGTTATTTATTATTATTTTTTCAACAGCAAATCTTATCGTGTTACTTCTTGTAGTGTTTAAATACATGTAGTCAGTCCTTCATGACCCAGACTATGGCCATGAGATCTGTGGCAGCAAACTGAAATCAAGCCCGAGTTTAAGGATCATGCCTGTGGTGGGATCAGAGTTGGCTTCTAATGTTAACACACACACACACACACACACAGATAGTCAGACAGACAGACAGATAGACACACACACACACACACACACACACACACACACACACACACACACACACACACACACACACACACACACACACACACACACACACACACACACACACACACGTGCGCCAGAAACAGTATCTTTCCAACTTTGAATTTCTGAACTGGGTGGGCATAAGACCTGCTTCAATAAGTTTACCTTAAATCTTCGTAACAATCACAGGATTCGGGGCTTTTGTATGTGTTAATATCGCCACAGGACACCACGTGACCTAACAGAAGGAGCACCCTGCACAGCTTGGTCTACCCTACTGGCAGATAACTACAAGAATGATGAACCGTGTATTACTTTACTTTCACATAAATACAGTTGCAATGTTCTGTTTAGATCTCCAGTAGTGTAAGAAAAAAATATCAATATGATGAAAATATGATAGCAAAATTTGTATGTTTGGTGGAGTAAATCTTTCAGCTGTGTTAGTTTTAAGGAGTAACTTCACTCCTCTCATGCTTGGCTGCCCAACACTTAGTAACTATTAAAAAAAAAGAGTTAAGAGAGCTATCCTAGGAGCACTGGTAGCGGCATGCTTCTCAAGGTTAACTACGACAAATCAAACAACAACTAAGGAGTCTCCCCTCTAACATAAGGCTGGCCGGGTTTATACCTCTTTGTCGCGATACTGCAGAGAGAAACGGAAGAAAACATTACATTAGGAACACGTGGAGGTGAGGTGGGCGCTGCTACTCTCTCGCACCACAACACAGAGGATAAGTGCCAGGTGAAGGATGTTAGAAAAATTTTGGTCTAAAGAGTAAAAGATTTTGAAATAAATACTAAGGTATTAGAGACAGTCATTATCCAGAATCTGCGTTGTCAAGTATATAGAGCTAAAGAAACAATCCTACATGTACACTATACAAAGCAAAATACAGTAGTTAAGATACACAGCAATAACTGCAGCCCAACCTCCAGCTTCTCAAAGATTCACACATTAATTTTCATCTTACCGAGGATACAATAAAACTCATCTAGGTCTGTGGGCACAATGCAATTTTTGGTGCCAATTTTGATACCGTATTTTTGTGCTGTGGATTACGTGAGACAGTAGAATATTTTCTTATACCATAAGTTACGAGGTAAATATATTGTACAAGCCTATGAGAAAAGTTGGACCAGACGACGATGCACCTCCCTCCTCGGCTGCACCTCTTGCCCTCATGCTGTGCCGGGGGCGAGGCTACCAACTTACCGAATCAAGTTTGGTCTGGGACTAACACAGTATGGCGAACTAACTCGACGAAGAGAAAATCATAATCACACTCCGATGAGATTAACAATTGACATTTACCAGAAGTATGTACCAACATTACGAATAAAATCTCTATCACGCGACAGACTTAGAGGTCACGCACTGATGTAAAATGTCGACAGAGTTATAATTTCGCAAGATAACGAATAGTACTATCGTCGTCCCTCGTACAAACATATTCAATCGGTTTCTTCTGTGAGATTTATGGGTTTTCAGAATCGTCTAGGTGGGATACAAAACTAAGATACGTTGCCATAATCCTAAAGTGTTGAAACTCCACAATACAGGGAAACATTACAATCTCTTCAAGCGTAAAGCACAGAAGAGTGTTAGCACATTACTGAACAAATACAATCTATATACTGTAGTTTATTTTCACACCTTTTTACTGTGTGAGAGAGAGAGGTTAACTTAACACGTGTCGACCAAATACTACGAGGAAGCTACAACATTTTTAAGCCGAGGCAACGATGAGTAAGCTGTACCACGGAGAGAAGCTTTAACAGGGGTGGTGGTGTTAGTACAGGGATGGTGGTGTTAGTACAGGGGTGGTGGTGTTAGTGACTACTCATTTAATCTCGATAATAATCATTAAAACAGATGATGATAACACAGAAAACAAGTCGACCATAATTTAGATAACAAGAATCACATTTTATGATTGATTCACAAATTGTCTTAACAACTACTATTGCAAGAGTTCAATAACGCATAGCAGACTAAATTTACATGGTAAGACGCATTTTGTAGAGATACGAGACCACCGGATAGCCAAGGATGTTTAGCACTCTTTGTTCAAACCCAAAGTGGCCCAGACACTTAACTGGACTGGACTTCTTGAGAAACCAAAAAAAAAAAAAAAAAAAAATCACGTTTACTTCAATGATTTTTCTTATATATTTAGTGAAGTTAAGTGACTGTTGACACCAAGTAAGTCACTGGATATTAAGTGACTCCCAGGTACTTACACGCCACTAAATACTCAAGTGACACTTAGTGAGTGACTTGAGTGACCTTAAGTGGCGGAAGACAAGAGAAGTTAAGGGATTCGAACGACACTCTTGAGATACTAGGATACCAAGAGAACATTAAGAGACAACCAAGAGAACTAATTAAAGAGACCGAGAAATAATTGAGGAGACCGAGAGATAATTAAGGAGACCGAGAGATAATTAAAGAGACCGAGAGATAATTAAAGAGACCGAGAGATAATTGAGGAGACTGAGAGATAATTAAAGAGACAGAGAGATAATTAAGGAGACAGAGAGATAATTAAGGAGACAGAGAGATAATTAAGGAGACCAAGGGATAATTGAGAAGACCGAGAGATAATTGAGGAGACCGAGAGATAATTGAGGAGACAGAGAGATAATTAAGGAGACCGAGGTAAGAGAAATAGTGAGGGAGACATGACACGCCTGGGGGAACTACAGGTACATAATCTGTTCCTGAATAAAGTAACTTCACTATCCTCAAAAGTAACTACAATATCCTCAAAAGTAACATCAATATCATCAAAAGTAACTACAAATCCTCAAAAGTAACTACAATATCTTCAAAGGTAACTACAATATCCTCAAAAGTAACTACATTATCCTCAACAGAAACTACAATCTCTTCAAAAGTAACTACAGTATCTCCAAAAGTAACTACAATATCTCTAAAAGTAACAACAATACCCTCAAAAGTAAATACATTAACTTCAAAAGTAACTACAATATCCTCAAAAGTAGCTACAATACCTTCAAAAGTAACTACAATATCCTCAAAAGTAACTACAATATCTTCAAAGGTAACTACAATATCCTCAAAAGTAACTACATTATCCTCAACAGAAACTACAATCTCTTCAAAAGTAACTACAGTATCTCCAAAAGTAACTACAATATCTCTAAAAGTAACAACAATACCCTCAAAAGTAAATACATTAACTTCAAAAGTAACTACAATATCCTCAAAAGTAGCTACAATACCTTCAAAAGTAACTACAATATCCTCAAAAGAAACTACAATATCTTCAAAGGTAACTACAATATCTCCAAAAGTAGCTACAATCTCCTCAAAAGTAACTACAATATCCTCAAAAGTAACTACAGTATCTCCAGAAGTAACTACAATATCTATAAAGTAACTACAATATCTTCAAAGGTAACTACAATCTCTTCAAAGGTAACTACAATATCTCCAAAAGTAGCTACAATATCCACAGAAGTAACTACAATCTCTTCAAAGGTAACTACAATACCTCCAAAAATAGCTAAAATATCCTCAAAGGTAACTACAATATCCCCAAAAGTAGCTACAATATCCCCAAAGCAACTACGACATCTTCAAAGGTATCTGAGGTATGAGATGCACTTGAGTTAACAAGAAGAGAAACGCCAGTGACTATAAACAGTACCAAGTCTTAAGTACTGAATGAGACAAACAAAATGTATACCAGGTCACTATCAGGCACTAGGAGAATGTAGGAAGCCCCTGAAAGAAGCTAGGATAATGTAGGAAGCCCCTGAAAGAAGCTAGGATAATGTAGGAAGCCTCTGAAAAAAGGTAGGATAATGTAGAAAGCCCCTGAAAGAAGCTAGGAGAACGAAGGAAGCCTCTGAAAGAAGCTAGGATAATGTAGGAAGCCTCTGAAAGAAGGTAGGATAATGTAGGAAGCCCCTGAAAGAAGCTAGGATAATGTAGGAAGCCTCTGAAAGAAGGTAGGATAATGTAGGAAGCCCCTGAAAGAAGCTAGGATAATGTAGGAAGCCTCTGAAAGAAGGTAGGATAATGTAGGAAGCCCCTGAAAGAAGCTAGGATAATGTAGGAAGCCTCTGAAAGAAGCTAGGATAATGTAGGAAGCCTCTGAAAGAAGCTAAGACAACGTAGTAAGCACTGAAAGAAGTCAGGGCAACGAAGAAAGTTTTAGATAAGTTTCAAGTAAAAGTTAGAAAACCTTGAAGATAAGTTGGAGAGAAGTCCAAACAACAGACGATGATGTACTCTTAAACACACACACGAGAGACTGAGGTGAGTAAAGAGAAGGATCTATAAGCACCATCACCCTCTATATACACAAGGCCACAGAAGGATCTGGGAGACACTGAGAGATATATAGCAGGGAGGTTCAATCAAGTCATCGCCGTGTTCCATTAATCAGCGTCTGAGGCCCTTGTGGCGTCTTGCCTTGATCACCTCTACTTTTTTTCTTTTAGGTATCCGGACCACAGGACGTGAACGATGAGACCAGAGTGAATAATATCTCTATTACAGTTTTTATGGCAGTAAATTACAGTTAATTAGAACATGTATGAATTTAATACCGTAAATCGTTGTCAATTATTATTTTTTAATCTGGACCACAGGAAGTGAGCAATAAATTGTATATCTGTCTGATTTGTTTGTTGTAGTACATCTGATAACAAAATTATTATAAGGTTATGAAGAGAAATGTATCAAAACGGGATAGATTCTGTCATTATCACCAAACAAAGATACTATTGGTGTACAGAAATGTTATCAAAGAGGAATTTATGTCTGTTTAGGCGTATGAAGATATTTGTGAATTACTGTTTACATTTAATGATAGTTTCATAAGAAAAGATTTACTCAATCAGTCAGTGCTTCATCTCTATTGATATATATTTTTTTCGGTATTTCAAATTATAATATGACTGATAAACATTAATTTTATAACCGTTGAATGTCTTTAAAACTGTCACAACATTACGCATGGCTGTTAAACTTTGCTATTTAATGCTGAAAGAAACACCCATCTGGCAACATCCACACACGGCGGAAATAATCTAAGTAGCGAGTCTTGTTAATACTTTAATTTAGATCTTATTTCTTTGTTTCGGATTTAACAAAAAAAAAACGACAGCTTAATAATTATCCCCTTTTATAGATTATATAATTTTATTAATTTATGGAGTCCGTAAATTACTTGGTTACGTTAATGCCACCAAGTGTTTGATCGAGACATTGAGACGCGGCTGCTTCATTCACACCACAACACCAGACCAGTTGTAATAATGTGACCCAACCAAGTGAACAATAACACTTATATCTACAATTACCAAAAAATATAATGAACGTCTCCCATGCACAACTGTTGTCTGAGAGGAGAGTGACAATGAAGATAATCAGTGAGATACGTACACACGGGACCACCGAGGTAACACTATATAAAATACCACGACACCGTAACACTGACTACCAACATGGAGTGTAGAAGGGAGGAGGCCGCCGCCATGGACCCTCTTTACCTGGTTGAATATGAGAAAGATGTAGTCGAGGGGCACCGAGGAGATGAGGTCGAGGAAGAACCACGTCTTTAGGTAGTGCTTGGCGATCAACTTGGGGTCGAGGATCACCTGCTCGGAGTTGTCTTGCTGCATTATACCTGAGGAAGAAGGGTTATATGAGACGCTTGGTATTCTAATATCTTACATTAGGCTGCTGGGTTCCCATACACCTGGTAAACGATGAGACGCTCTCCCGTTCCTCGCGTTACCTTGATGTATTCGTAGACGCGACGACAAGTGAAAAGATGAGACACTTCACTCAGGCTGATGTACCCAAACGTGAGGACAACAGGACAAAAGAGAAACCACGCAGGATGCAGAACTCTCACACGGCAGGGAAACAGCATAGGTGTGGGTGACCGATACCACAAGAGAATATTCATGGGGATTCATTTAAGGATAACAATAGAGATGAAGGACCCTGGAGGAGACTCACCCACTGATAATGGTACTGGGCGGAGAGCCGGCAGTTAAGAGGAACAGCAGCTGTGACAGACACACGGCTGGGAAAATAATGGAGTAATAAAGTAAAGCTTGGAAGATTGGGAGTAGAGAAAAGAGATAGAGATGGGAGATAACAGAGGAGAATAAGAAAAGATCTGCGAGCCACAGAGATGGTTAGGTTAGGTTAGGTTAGGTTGGGGAAACAAGAATAAATAGATAGTTTGATTGATAAAGGGGCGGGGGCGGTTAAGGAGAGGGGGAAGAAGACCGGGGGGGTAGACAGAAAGTTAGACAGAAGAGAAGTTTTATTAACAGAAGAAAAGTTGGGGAGACGAAAGGAGTTTCGGGGAGAAAAGGAAGGAAGGTTAAGGAAATAATGAGAGGAACATCATATTTTGGGGAGACAATGACTGAGAAGTGTTGGGAGTTATGAAAGTTGACGTCTTGTGTCAGGTCGGCTCACACGTCAACATGAGGACTGTCAGGTGAGTATCAAGGACAATCTGTGACGTGTGACGTAGAAGGAAACAAGAACTAGTCGCCAGGACCAAGGCTGACTACCTGACGTCACAATTCTAGGCATTGTCTGTAAAACTGCCTTTATTTCAGTCCTTGGGTAATGCGATAAAGAGAGGTTTCTGACGACTGACATTAGCACAACAATTCCAACTCTATTCTACCACCATTACCCACATCAGGTTGAACCACACTTTATTATGTTAGATTAGCTTTATGGCATGCGGCGTCAGAGACAGGCAGACTGGTCCGTGCTGTTTGTTCATCGTCTTCTCCGCCTGACTCTCGCACTGTGCCCCACTGTGCATTATTTTAAACCTGTATTACACGTGCACCTGGTGGCTCTCCGGGGTATAAGTCAGCCACATGACTTAAAAATCATTATCTTTATGCCATGTTAACAGTTTTTTTTTTTAGATAATGAACAACTGTACTTTAGGTTGCAATTTATTTTTATTTTTTATAATTTCAGTATAACGAAAGCTTTTACGAGGTGACGGGGACCCATTAGTGATCACAAGGCTTCTATCAGCTCCAGGCAGCGGCCAGGTTCTCTGGGTGTGACAAGGCACCTCACTCACTACTGACAGATTCTTCTGTCTGTCTGTGGCTGCCGTCATTCACTCTGCTGACTGTGTGTTTCCTTCGACTGCTGGTCTGTGTTCATATGGTCAAGGTTCAAGCTTCGGTTTGGGATAAATGAGTTTAAAAAGTGTTCATGAATAAATGGAACTGAGAGCTTTTTGTTCATTAACACGTATTACGGGTGTTCATGACCAGTGTAAGTGCTCATGAGTTGTGGTTTAAACCATCGTCCTCAAAAGGTTGACATCACTTACCACTGCAGTAATGTTTTGTCGCGTAGTCCTGAAAATATAAAGTTTAAATCTATTGTGACATAAGATTAATGGGAACACGTTTTATACGACGGGTAGCTCTGTTGCAACGTGTATGTATGTATGTATGTATGTATGTATGTATGAAGGAAGCGATGTACCGTATGAAGGCACTGTTGAGTACTGATGACTGGACCAACTCATAGTCTCATAGGATTACTAATGAGTACATCCTCATCACCTGACTCAATGTGGCTGAATAGAAGCATTTACAAAGGACAATTTAATCCAGGTTTCAACTCTGGGAGGGGACGATGGGAAGGGGGAGGGGGAGGGAGCAGGGCGAGGGGCTGAGGGGGAGGGGTTTCATATACAGTATATCTGTGGCTGAAGGGTAAATTGAGGTCAATTGTCAAGAGTAAAGTGCCTGGGTTCACAGAGAGAGAGAGAGAGAGAGAGAGAGAGAGAGAGAGAGAGAGAGAGAGAGAGAGAGAGAGAGAGAGAGAGAGAGAGAGAGAGAGAGAGAGAGAGAGAGAGAGAGACAGAGAGAGAGAGAGAGAGAGAGATTATATGTGCTTAAGTAAATATGCAGGTGTGTGTGTGTGTGTGTGTGTGTAATGCAGTGAACAAATGCAGAATAATAACATCCCTCCCAAAATAGCATGGCAAACACAATTCCTAAGACTGATGGTAATAATATAAATAAGACTATCACGTTAAATACACACCAGGAACAATAACAACGCAAATTTAATAAGAATAATTAAAATCTGGATTATAAAACTTATCTTAAGGTATTATTTAATATTACCCTAAGATAAGAATTTCTACACATGAGTATAAAGTATGGATTGTGTTTTGATAAGAGTCACATCAGGTCGGTTACTCTCCGACTGGGGGACAACAACATGGAACTTCGTCGACTGGTGGAGAAGTTAACGCACCCTAAGAGTCATAATATGGGAGCTTGAGGTATGTTAAAGCCACAGAGGGATGACTAGGAGTATTGTATAGCGAATAGAGAAATAAAGGAATGACTAGGCTTGTGTGCATCAAATATTTCGTTGGTAAATTTCTCCCGTGCTGTCTAGCTGTTGTTGTTTACCTGTTTTTAATAAGATCACAAGCTGGATTATTCATGAACCAGAAAGTAAACATTTAGCAATACACAAGGTACACTAAAGGCATCCCTCAGTGATCGCTGGTTAAAGGGACGTGTTGTTTGATGTAGCTTACAGTAATGTTCACCTCAGGTAAACAAGGTGAAATATTTCACTATTGAAGTGTGGTGATAGGCTGAGGCTGTGTGGTGGCCGCCGGGCACACATACACCAGCCTCCACTGTCATCAAATAATACTTGTCATAAAAATTCAAAATAGGAGAATGGAACAAAAATGTAGGAGGCGCAGTATTAACCTCCAGTAAGTATTATAATTTATGTGAAGTAAACAGCATTCCTCATCCCACCATGAATACATTGTTCGTATTAGTTGTGCAGTTTTATATCGTAAGACTGACGCTATAGAAAAGTACTGTATGTTTATTCTGCTTTGTGTAACGTGGAATATATTTACAGACTCGGGTACGAGATAATGTTTGTATGTACCGTTATCATCAGTGGAAACATCACCTGGAAAACATGGTTAATCCATAGTAACACCCAGGCTGGGACGGGGAGGAACCTACTGTACATACATAGACGTCAGTAGCCTTAAGATGAGTCAAGGTTTACTGTAACTCTGGCGGCCTTAATGGTCTTGTCCAGCCTTTACAAAGCAGTAGCCTATAAACTGTACCAGCAGATGGGTGGCGCTGGGTGGCCAATGCCTGCAGCTGAGTGGCGCTGGGTGGCCAATATCAGCAGGTGAGCGGCTCTGGGTGGCTAATATCTGCATCTGAGTGGCCAATACCTGCAGCTGAGTGGCGCTGGTTGGCCAATACCTGCACGTGGGTGGCGCTGGGCGGCCCATACCTGCAGGTGAGCGGCTCTGGGTGGCTAATATCTGTATCTGAGTGGCCAATACCTGCAGCTGAGTGGCGCTGGGTGGCCAATACCTGCACGTGGGTGGCACTGGGTGGCCAATACCTGCAGGTGAGCGGCTTTGGGTGGCCAGTAACACATTCACGTGCTCACCCCGAGGTATGACTTCACCAAGAGCCAGGATCCAATCACGACCTCCAATACTGTTAACCACAAATGGACATTTTGCCAAGTGAATGACCTCGTTAACTAGCTAACAATCACCGCTGGTTACTGACGACCCGTCCAGCCATCATGTCATCAAATTGTTGTTTCTGTAAAGGGAATTTAGAGGGGCCAGGTGGACAGTGGTCACCAGTACGCACCGCGAGTAAAGGAATAAGCTGATGAGGGTAACTATATGGACGGTGGAGTAGGGTTAGTGTTGTCATATATAGGAAACAATGGACATATTTACCTCTGTTACCACACACACACACACACACACACACACACACACACACACACACACACACACACACACACACACACACACACACACACACAATTAACACAAAAATCCCTTGTAATGAGCAGATATATTACTCACTAGCATCAGCTTAACACTAATTACCACACACAGTATATGACAATTAACGGTTATTGAAGTAAATAACGAGAGATGTCCGAGTCTATAAACAGGCACAGTTCTCTATATAATGGTTTATGTCACCCATTAAAACACACAATATCTTTATCAGCGCCATTAATATTACAGGAGCATATGTGATGACGTGTATTTATACTTTGTGAAGTGACACGTTGCCTATGAACAGCGAAACTACATTTAAATAATTAATTCTCAGTTGGGGAGTAAATTATATATTATTAATTTATGTGACTTTGGTAAAAAAAAAACTAATTTGAAAGTCACTGAGGTTCCTACAGCCCGGTTCATTAAAGTATTAATTAAATTCTTTGATTGTGTGTAAGGTTCGTCTTGTCTGAGGCAACACCGCACTGTACCTCTGGTTGCAACACGTACCGCTGACTCAACTCTTAACACTGGAGGCAACACTTAACACTGGAGGCAACACTTAACACTGAGCAAACTTAGCAAGAGCAACATAGAGCAACACTTAACACTGGAGCAAAACACTGGAGGCAACACTTAACACTAACTCAAACTTAGCAATGGAGGCAACACTTAGCACTGGAGGCAACACTTAACGCTGGAGGCAACACTTAACACTGGAAGCAACACTTAACACTGGAGGTAGCACTTAACACTGGAGGCAACACTTAACACTAACTCAACATAACTGGGCAAACACTGAGCAA